TAATAAAATGAAGGAACTTAAATCATTTAAGTCTATTGCAGAGAAATTTGACAGTGATATAACAAAAACTGTTTTAATGCATAATTAAATTCCACTTCTCACTCTCTCTTTAAGGCTACATGTATGCCCCCTTGTTTGGCCAACACTTCTTTTTATGATTTTCTTTCTGGCATGTACTGTTCATCTCTAAAATGATCACAGCTGAATCTTCATTTCGTGGAATTGTTTTATCCCGCATGTGTCCCATACAGTCTTCTGAAGCTCACTATTTGAATTTCTTCCCATGTAAACTGAGCGCTGAGGCATTTCTCTCCTTGTAATCTATAAATGTTATAATCTCAGCCGGGTTCTGGACATGAATTGAATTCAGTGTAGGAGGAAAAATGCGTTTAGTGACCGAAAGACCAAAGTTCTATACCTTTTATCTCACTAGGTTATCTCACACTTGTGACTTGATTTAGCAAGTCCTGAAACAATAGTGTAGCAGAAGAATTACAAGGCAGAAATGATTAGGACACAAAAATAAAAGTGCCTTGGTATTTGTATTATGTGGATTAAGATACAGCAATACTCCCTTCTCTGTTTATTCAGAAGGTCTTCAATTTCACATAGCTAAAGCAACTGAATTTTCATGTATTTCTAGTATTATTTCAAGGTGTGTAGAGCTTTTTTCTTTTTAAATATCAGCATGCTGTTGAAAGAGAGAAGGGTAGAGTTTCTGTTAAATTTACATAAAACCCTAGAAGCCAGGACTTTTTCTGCTCCTGGCTGCCAGCATTTTTTGCTGGAGTTAAAATCTTTCAGGAAGTCTCCCAGATGATATTCTGCCCTTGAATGTTAATGTCTCTACTATGCATTTCCCATGCAGAATGGAGTTTCACAATCAAGTAAAACTTTGACATCATTATATAACCACTATTTATGAAGAAATAATGGTAGTCCATCTACCATGTGTAATTTTTGTTTTGATAAAAAGAGTAAGATCTTCAGAGTAAACCACAACCATTTCTTTGTGTAAAACTTACTTTAATTTATTCTAATCATTTAATTTTTCCCTTTATTCCCATAGACTTTTCCCAGAGGCTATGCTGCATGAAGTGCTTCTCAATTACCATTGAATTAGAAAGTTAAGCGTCTACTCAATAATGATTTTATAGTTAAACATCCATTGTTATTTTTCTTAACAGATGAGATTCAGACTAGTTCAGAGAAGATTTAGACTAGATTTGAAAATCTTTATAACTAATAGAAAATAAGGCCATCGAATTAGAATCTGTGCCCATGTAACAGCTTTGTAATACTAAAAGGTTTTTTTTTTTCCTTTGTTTGTTTCACTTCCCCTCAACTTCTAAACTTTAGTAGCCCTATTAAACTTTTTAAAAATATTCTATGGAAGGCAAGTATCATAAATACTTACTCAAAAAAGAGGTTTCTGCAGTCAAATAAATTTAGGAAATGCTACACAATAGATTTCTCTTTTGCCTATTCAAAATTATGTTAATAAAGGTTGTGAGAATTCCTAAAATAAAAATATTGACTTAATGTTGTTTAACCTAGTGTTTCCAGACTTATTTGACATTGAAAACCCTTGTCCCCTTTTCTTTGCACATCTCATTGCACTGATATTTTCTGGAAACACTGCTGTAAGGTGGGAGATAAACAATGGATCATCAATTTGTTACTCTAGATTATAGAAAAGACTTTTCCCCATGATCACTCATCATTAGATGGACAGCAGCTGTGTGAGTCACATGAGCAGGTCACTTCATTGATCTTTCAGATTCCTTATCTATAAAATAGAGATGACAGATATCCTCTGCCTACCTAACAGAGCTTTTGTGAAAATTTAAATCAGAACTATGAGTGAAAGCAAGGAGCCCTGGTAATGCAACGGTTAAGCCCTCATAACTGAAAGCTTGGTGATTTGAACCCATCCAGCAGCTCTGCTGGAGAAAGACCTAGTGATCTGCTCCCATAAATATTACAGCCTAGAAAACCCTATGGGGAAATTCTACTCTGTCACATGGATTACTGTGAGTCAAAAATCAACTCAGTGATACCTAACAACAACAACTTGAGTGAAAGCCCTTTGAAATCTGTGTGCTACCTATAAATAAGGTATTACTGAATTTTTCCATTTCTTTGATAACATCAGCTATAATATATACCATTTAATCAGCTATATACTGTAAAATTTTTATTATAAGAGTTATCATGATTGAAGACACTTTAAAACATAAGGGGTAGGGGTATTGTTTCTTTCCCTAGATTATTCTGCTTCTTTCACCAAGTAGCTATAACTATGTTCATATGAGATAAAAAGAGATTAAATAAAAAGAAATTCATTCTAGGGTTAATCTTTATAATATAAAAGTTAATGTGCAAGGCTAATATCATCTTCTCAGATACCAACTAGTTGGTGAAATGTCTATTTTTCTACTTAATTTATTAAATTGCTTTATTCTTTATCAGACATGTACCTTATAGTTCGACTTTCTCTCTAAACCGCTGGTCTTCCTTAGAGTGACTTTAATGTTGTACTTACATTTAAAGTATCTCTTGAGTAGATTTTCTCTCACTTGAAATTTTATCATTGTATAAAATGAACCTATTATTTTCATGTGATAGAGGGTCCAGATGAAAATGATTAATGTTAAGTACTATCAGTGAATAAAAAAACTATGTCAGAACTGTTGAGGGGAATTATTATTTCTAAAGTAGCTAGACTGAGTAACCAATATTATTTTCCTTAAACAAATCACTAAAATTAGTTCATTTTATTTAGAGGCATCAATATATACTCTCCACCATGCGTCTGTCAGTTTGTTGTTCTGTGGTGGCTTTCGTGTTGCTGTGGTACTGGAAGCTTTACCACTGATACTTCAAATACCAGCAGGATCACCCTTAGTGGACAGGTTTCAGCAGAGCTTCCAGACTAAGACAGGCTAGGAAGAAGGACCTGGCGATCTACTTCTGAAAAACCGGCCAGTGAAAACCTTATGAATAGCAGCAGAACATTGTCTGATATAGTGCTAGAAGATGAGCCCTTCAGGTTGGAAGGCATTCAAAATACGACTGGGGAAGAGCTGCCTCCTCAAAGTAGAGTTGACCTTAATGATGTGGATGGAGCTAAGCTTTCAAGACCTTCATTTGCTGTTGTGGCAAGATTCAAAATGAGAAGAAACAGCTGCAAACATCCATTAATAATTGGAACTTGGAATGTATGATATATGAATCTAGCAAAATTAGAAGTCGTCAAAAATGAAATGCATAAATATAAACATCCTAGGCATTAGTGAGCAGAAAAGGACTGGTATTGGCCATTTTGAATCTGACAATCACATGGTCTACTATGCTGGGAATGACAACTTGAAGAGGAATGGCAATACATTCATTGTCAAAAGGAACATTTCAAGATCTATCCTGAAGTACAACGCTGTCAGTAATAGGATACTATCCATACGCCTACAAGGAAGACCAGTTATTATTCAGATTTACACACCAACCACTAATGCCAAAGATGAAGAAATTGAAGATTTTTATCAGCTTCTGCAGTTTGAAATTGATCAACATGCAGTCAGGATGCATTGATAATTACTGGTAATTGGAACACGAAAGTTGGAAACAAAGAAGGAGCGGTAGTTGGAAAATGTGGCCTTGGCAATAGAAATGATGCCAGAGCAATATTGCATAATAGAATTTTGCCAGACCAATGATGTATTCGTTGCAAATACCTTTTTTCAGCAATATATATGGTGACTATACACGTGGACCTCACCAGATGAAATACACAGGAATCAAATCGACTACATCTGTGGAGAGAGACAATGGTAAAGCTCAATATCATCAGTCAGAACAAGGCCATGGGCCAACTGCAGAACAGACCATCAGTTGCTTATATATGAGTTCAAGTTGAAGCTGAAGAAAATTAGAGCAAATCCATGAGAGCCAAAATATGGCCTTGAGTGTATCGTACCTGAATTTAGAGACCATCTCAGGAATACATTTGACACATTGAACACTAATGACAGAAGGTCATTGTGGAATGACATCAAGGAAATCATACATGAAGAAAGCAAGAGGTCATTAAAAAGACAGGAAAGAAAGGAAAGACCAAAATGGATGTCAGAAGAGACTCTGAAACTTACTCTTGAATGTCAGTAGCTAAAGCAAACAAAAGAAATGATGAAGTAAAAGAACTGAACAGAACATTTCAAAGGGAGGCTCGAGAAGACAAAGTAAAGTATTATAATAAAATGTGCAAAGAGCTGAAGTTAGAAAACCAAAGTGGGGGAATATGCTCAGCATTTCTCAAACTGAATGAACTAAAGAAAAAACTCAAGCCTCAAGTCGCAATATTGAAGGTTCTATGGGGAAAATGTTAAATGAAGCAGGAAATTTCAAAACAAGATGGAAGGAATACACAGAGTCACTGTACAAAAAAGAATTGGTTGACATTCAGCCATTTCAGGAGGTGTAGCATACGATCAAGAACTGATAGTACTGAATGAAGAAGTCCAAGCTGAACTGGAGGCGGTGAAAAACAAAGCTCCAGGAATTGACAGAATAACATTTGAGATGTTTCAACAAAGGGATGCAGCTCTAGAGGTGCTCACTCGTCTATGTCAAGAAATTTGGAGGACAGCTGCCTGGCCAACTGACTGGAAGAGATCCATATTTGTGGCCATTCCAAAGGAAGGTGAGCCAACAGAATACGGAAATTATTGAACAGTATCATGAATATCATGCACAAGTAAAATTATGCTGAAAATCATTCAAAACCAGTTGCAGCAGTCCATCCACGGGGAACTGCCAGAAATTCAAGCTGGATTCAGAAGAGAACATGGAACGAGGTATATCATTGCTGATGTCAGATGGATCTTTGCTGAAAGCAGCGAATACCAGAAAGATGTTCTGTGTTTTATTGACTATGCAAAGGCATTTGACTGTGTGGATAATAACAAATTATGGATAACATTGTGAAGAATGGGAATTTCCAGAACACTCAATTGTGCTCATGCGGGACCTGTACATAGATCAAGAGGCAGTCGTTCAAACAGAACAAGACGATACTTCGTGGTTTAAAAGCAGGAAAGGTGTATGTCAGTATTGTATCCATTCACCATACTTATTCAGTCTGTATGCTGAGTGTCATGGATTGAATTGTGTCCCCCAAAAATGTGTCAACTTGGCTAGGTCATGATTCCCAGTATCATACGATTGCCCATCATTTTGTCATCTGATGTGATTTCCCTATGTGTTGTAAATCCTATCACTATGATGTAATGAGATGGATTAGTGGCAGTTATATTGATGAGATCTACAAGATTAGATAGTGTCTTTAGCCAATCTCTTTTGGAATATAAGAGAGAGAAGTGAGCAGAGAGACATGGGGACCTCATACCACCAAGAAAACAGTGCTGGGAGCAGAGTGCATCCTTTGGACCTGAGGTTTCTGCTCTGAGATGCTCCCAGACAAGGAAAGACTGATGCATCACAAGAACCTTTCTCCAGAGCAGACAGAGAAAACCTGCCCCTGGAGCCAGCGCCCTGAATTTGGACTTCTGGCCTACTGGACTATGAGAGAATAAACTTCTCTTTGTTAAAGCTATCCACTTATGGTATTTCTGTTATAGTAGCACTAGATGTCCGAGACACTGAGCAAATAATCCAAGAAGCTGGAGTATTTGAAGAAGAACGAGGCATTAGGATTGGAGAAAGACTTATAAACAATCTGCAATATGCCAATGACGCAACCTTGCTTGCTGAAAGTGAAGAGGACTTGAAGCACTTACTGATGAAAATTAAAGACTACAGCTGTCTGTATGGATTACATCTCAACATAAAGAAAATAAAAATACTCAAAACTGGACCAATAAGCCACATTATGATAAGCAGAGAAAAAATTTAAGTTGTCAAGGATTTCATTTTACTTGGATCCATAATCAACGCCAATGGAAGCAGCAGTCAAGAAATCAAACGATGTATTACATTGGGCAAATCTGCTGCAAAAGATAACTTTAAAGTGTTAAAAAGCAAAGATGTCACTTTGTGGAATATGGTGCGCCTGACACAAGCCATGGTATTTTCAATCACCTCATATGGGTACGAAAGCTGGGCAATAAGGAAGACCGAAGAAGAATTGACACTTTGAATTATAGTGTTGGCGAAGAATATTGAAGATACCATGGACTTCCAGAAGAACGAACAAATCTGTCTTGGAAGAAGTATAGCCAGAATGCTCCTTGGAAGCAAGGATGGCAAGACTACATCTCTCGTACTTTGGATGCATTATCAGGAGGGATCGGTCCCTGGAGAAGGACATCATGCTTGGTAAAGTATAGTAGCAGCAACAAAGAGGAGGACTTTCAACGAATTGGGTTGACACAGTGACTGCAACAGCGGGCTCAAGCATAACAGCAATTGGGAGGGTGGCACAGAACCAGGCAGTTTTGTTCCATTGTACATAGCATTGCTATGAGTCAGAACCTACTGGCTGGCACCTAACAGCGTACCAATCATATTCTTTGTGTATTAATTATGATAGTGTTTCACTGCAAGAAAAGTAAAGGCAAAAATTTTAAGGAACTACTTCTCTCTCATGTTTTTAAAAAAAAAAAAAATAGAGGCAGAGTTGATTTGGTAGCTTCTTAGTCCTCAGGGTCCCAAGTTTCTTCCAGCACATCACTGTATCATCCCTTGGGTGCTATCTTAGTTATCTAGTGCTGCTGTAACAGAAATACCACAAGTGGATGGCTCTAACAAAGAGAAGTTCATTCTCTCACAGTTTGGGAGGCTAGAGTCCAAATTCAGGGTGCCAGCTGTAGGGGAAGTCTTTCTGTCTTTGTTGGTTCTAGAGGAAGGTCCTTGTCATGAATCTTCCCCTGGTCAGGGAGCATCTCAGCACAGGAACGCTGGGTCCAAAGGGCACACTCTGCTCTTGGTGCTGCTTTCTTGGTGATATTGAGGTCCCCTTGTCTCTCTGCTTGCTTCTCCTTTATGTCTCAAAAGAGATTGATACAACCTAATCTTGTAGATTGAGTCCTGCCTCATTAACGTAACTGCCTCTGATCCTGCCTCATTAACATCATAGAGGTTGGATTTACAACACATACGAAAATCACATCAGATGACAAAATGGTGGACCAGTCACACAATACTGGGAATCATGGCCTAGCCAAGTTGACACACATTTTTGGGGGA